ACCCCACATGCAGTCTTGATGAATCTTATCAGTCATTGTTTTGTGAATAGTGAATACCTTTATTGCTAAGTCACGGATATAAATCATCACAGAACTTCTTGATCATACAACAAACCCGTGGCCGGTCAGCCCGATTTACTAGATTAAGAGCTGTTTGTGACTCCGTTCATGAGTATGATATAATAGTAATACTCATGAACCACTATAAGTACATACATAAAAGTATAAACTAAAGACTGTGCGAAAACGTAACGCGGTCAATTCGGTCCTAAAAATTAAATTTTAACTTAATACTTAGAGTTAGTTGCTTCGTTTAAAAACAAAACACAGGAAACTGCAGCAACCATAATAAGAAACAGTATAAATTAAGTTTTACTAACCAGTATAACTATAATAAGATATTATACATTATATGAGGATGATGTCGCGATACCTGATTTTTGTTAAATCGTGGCATCTGCCGCGAAATGGCAGCGTGGACCAGCAGCGTTCAATCACCAACTAATTACAGTAAAACCCCGATTTACCGCGGCCATTTCCTTCCCCCAAATAGGGCTTAACATTCATAATCATAATGTAAAAAAATTAAAACCCCGATCTACCGCGGCTTTTTCTTTTTTATCAAACTCCGAAGTAAAAAGTTAACGGAGTATTACTGTACAGCACTACAAATTTGTTACAATTATTAAGGCATGCTACTCCCTTAATTTGCTAAAGACCTTGAGAGACGTCGTGTGTATACATGATCACCATCAATCAAAAGATAATACATAATAAGTAATATATATAATAGTTATACTGAAGCCATCATGCTTTGAGACTGCACGTATATATTGTGCCAAGGTATACAGTTCCAGAGTCTGGGACCCATTACACTAAATGATGTTTCATAGAGTCTGATGAGCTTTTTGTACGGACATCTGGAACCTTAGCCAGGGTACCCAATCTTGGGTTTACTGTGAACTGTACTTCAAGGTCGTTGGATGTGAAACCATACAGGATTTTCCACATGTGGATGACAATGTAACGTGACATAAATATAATTACTAATTACTAATACTAATAAACACTTAATTACAGTGCACATTAGAAACTTTTGAAGTTGGGGTTAGTTTACCTGGGAAACTTTACCAGGCTATTATGTTCATAAACATAATAGAAATTCGGCGGAATGACAGGCTGAGCGCCACCCAGTAAAGCAGTAAGGGTAAGTCAGTTACTTTAAAACAAGTCTCAAAATATTTTAACGGGTGATACTCGTAAAATATTTGTTCCACCGTCGACGAGTCCAACTCGGCGTGCGTCCTGGTTAGGTAGGTTGTAAACCTACAAAAAATATTAAATGATACAATTACTACAGTCAATTACAAACCATCTCTTCAGTGGTCACATGACACATTCAATACAACCTTGCTGTCTCGCAGACAGCGGCCACCTGCACAAACTCACTAATCACGTGAGACAACTATGTTAATCAACACATGTGAGCACGTGCAGAAATCCTATGGTCACGTGATAATACTGTAGTCACGTGACACAAACAAAAGTCTCCTCAAGAAAGCGTGTAGGAGCTGTCTGTACTGGAACACCAGTTACAAGTGAGTTGTTGTTAACTCTCATAAACATTTCCTGTTGCTTGTAATCAAGTTTCTCAGTTCAGTTGTAAGATAAGAGACTGTGAAGTTTGGAGAACTGATTGGCACACGATCACAGGCACATAACTGTCACAGATTATAAGGGTCGTTCACAAATTACGTAATCACTTTTTGAACAATTTTTACCTCCCCCCTCCGTAATGGCGTAATCAGTTTTACACATAGCCATAGCTATTGTGTTAAAATTTACACTAGCGTAATCATTTGGAAATCCGCCTCCCCCTCGGCTGATTACATAATATGCGAACTCGACCACTAACTGTAAGTTTAAAATGTCAGCCCATGGTTTCTAAACAGGAAACAACCCTGCCGTAGTTCCTAACTTGACTACAATGTGGCTCTTTAATTTCTATGCGTTCAGCTCACCTCACGTAGCTAATGGGTAAGAAAAAGGGTAAGACGATACAAATAGTTCTAGATGGTTCCAGCTCTAGTGAAGAGGAGAGTGAGGAGGATGCTAGAGTTCCACCACCTTTTGAAATAGGTATGATTCTATTGCAGCACGTTAATTGAAACGCGTTGGATACAACGCGTTAATCGAAATGCATTAGATATAACTCGTTATCCAAAATTTGAATTATAGTTGCATTATTTTCGGGAAAGCTGCTCAGATCAATCTGGGACGAAATATCATTTTGATAATGGATTCAAAAGATGCCTAATGCTTATCAAATTAAATGTACGTACAAAGTTTTTATCAGAAGATAATAATTACGATTTGCCCCGTTTGCTCATGTTTATGATAGCCCCGTTTGTTTGCCAGAAATGCACTAAAAGCTGCTCACAATCATATGTCCAGGACTACAGTCACGCGTTAATTGTAACGCGTTAGATATAACGCGTTAATCAATGTTCAGGACTACAGAACCGTCCTCCGGGCAGGAATCACAGAGAAAGGAGGTTTGAGAGAGCAGATATTGATCAGATGGGGGTCCACAATTGGGTGAGTTAAGGTAAACGAGCTGATAGTTCTACTTGTAGTTCTACTTATAGGTCTACTTCTACTTCTACTTCTACTTCTACTTCTACTTCTACTTCTACTTCTACTTCTACTTCTACTTCTACTTCTACTTCTACTTCTACTTCTACTTCTACTTCTACTTCTACTTCTACTTCTACTTCTACTTCTACTTCTACTTCTACTTCTACTTCTACTTCTACTTCTACTTCTACTTCTACTTCTACTTCTACTTCTACTTCTACTTCTACTTCTACTTCTACTTCTACTTCTACTTCTACTTCTACTTATACTTATACTTATACTTATACTTATACTTTTACTTATAGTTACTTCTTATTCTCACTTAAAAAGTTACAGAGAACATGCTTTTCTATTTATATCTTCTGACGTGTTTTCCCATTTACAGGTTGAGAACATGTTCCACATGATAGAGACTGGAGAAGTAGACGAACATTCCGCTCACTACATCAACCTTGCTCACGAGATGATAAAAAGGTGGAATTGCTGGATAATTAGTAATTATTATTAGTTATTATTAGTTATTAATTAGCAATTAATAGTAATTATATCTGACTCGTTACTGTTATCTGTATCATTATTCCTACAATTCATTGATAAACTCACAAGTCACAGCCTATATTCTGCTTCAGGTTCAGCGCAGTTGTTTTTATGAAAGAAAAAGAGCGTCTCGGTAAAAAAGCTTCTAATCTCATACGAAAGGTAAACTAAAAATCCTTAAAATGAGTTTCCATCTGATTAATACAGAGCATCCAAAGTAATAATTTATAGCTCGGCTGGGTTCTGGGGAGGAGGTCTGGAGTTGCCTCTACAGTCTCCGCCATCTGCACTACATTTGATCTTACCTGGGGCCCTCAGACTACACACTATGTATACATTGTATATATACACTATGTAATATGTATACACTATGTATACACTATGTATACACTATGTATACACTATGTATACACTATGTATACACTATGTATACACTATGTATACACTATGTATACACTATGTATACAGTATACACTATGTATACACTATGTATACACTATGTATACACTATGTATACACTATGTATACACTATGTATACACTATGTATACACTATGTATACACTATGTATACACTATGTATACACTGACATCCTGCCACAGGTTCGGACGAAACATCACATTAAAGAAGATGAAGCTCTAGAAGTTACTATCGACAACACCAGAGCTGCCAGAAAAGTCTACAGAGACCTGCTCAAGATTACTGGCATCAGAGATCTACCTCAGATATTTGTGAACGAAACTTTTATTGGTAGCTGGCAGGATCTGAAGACTCTTAACAAGACAGGTAATTATTTGAAACATCGGGAGCTACTCTCTCGAGTGCAATAATGAGCCTCATTAGGCGCGGTAACGAGCATGTTGGGGGATGACGATCGCGTTATATAGCGATTTGGTTGCTGTGCTATAAGCGGTCTCCAACCAATCAGGCCATTGATTGAGTAAAGATGTAACTGACTCACTGATTTAGTGCCAGATCACGTATCTGTAATATCTTAAGATCTTAAAATGGTATTGGTCATAACTTGGCTTAGTTCGTTAGTTGTGAACAATCAACTTGACATTTTGGGAAAGCACTTCAAGTTCAATTATCAAACCAAATGTGTCTAGAAAATTTCCGGAGTTCCTAGCTGAAAGCGTTCACGCTTTATGGCGACAATAGTGAAAACGAGGGATCTTACCTATACTATAAACTTTAACTTGATAATTGGATGATTAATGAAGCCTTTTGTATGCAATTGCAAATTGCAAACAGAACCATTTTGAAAAGCACACGTTTAATCATTATTTGTGATACTGTGATTCAAGCATTATTATTTATTACGACCCAACATGGTTGGAAAAAACTCCCAGAATTACTCCCCGAATTTTCAGGTATGCTCTCGAAAGAATTACTGAGTTCAATAGGATTCAAAGATTTGTTCTGTCCGATTTGCGCAGAGACTGGAGGGAAAAACCACGAGGCCCATAAAGATAGGGTAAAGAACTTTTAGATGGCTGAGTCTAGCAGGTAAGCACATGTTTTATAGGTATTATACTGCAGGGCTAGACAGAACTCAGAATCATCAGCAAGTTTGTGGTTATCCATCACTCGTCAGCTTTCATGAGACGATAGAATATGAGCAAGACTAGATGGTTTTCCTGTGTCCAAAGCAAGGGATGAAGTACCGTGTAAGATTCAGAAAAATAAAGAATTGACTCAGAGATGGAAAAATGTGTTGAGACTTGACTGTTCATACATAGTCATATTCGATCATCTATTATAATTTATCTAAAGTAATGTGATGCGAAGACTTTGTAATCATTCAGTTGACAATAAAAAGGGTGATTCCACAATCCGATGGAAAAGTTAAAAAAAACCATTACAATTTGAATCAAATGCAATAGTTAATCGCAGAAAACATTCAAGCATAACTATAAACACCAACAGAAATTAGTAATCTGAATTTGACTGATCCTACTTTAGACTAAACACCATGTTCATTTTTTTCATCAAGATATGACATTCTGTTTTTTGCTTTGGCCGGCCGGCAAAGCATGATTAAATCAACCAATGGTCTGAATTATAGATCAACTCTTTTTAATATCTCAGTTTTCAGTTAGATTTTAAAAATCGATGGTAATATAATCGCAGTGACTGTGAGTAAGTTCTTCTTTCCGTTTATCCGTAGTTTTTGCCGCACATGTGGATATGTTTGCAGACTCCATCACAGAATGAGAGACCGTTGCTACATCTATCATCTCCACCATCCTCCTTCTTCTCTTCCTCTTTCTGTGATAAAAAAGTTTGTACAACTAACCATATTGGGTACTTATACTTATATTATTATAATATTAGAGGCAATGCAAATAGCGAATCTCAATTGTCGCTAATTACCTAACATTACGTGATAATTTGGTAATTTTTTTTTTTACCAATGCGCTTACCATTTCATCTGCGGGACATTTCTTGAAAACTTCAATTTCACGAATGTGTAAAAACTTTTCTCCTGAAACAAGTTGAATCAATAATCTGTAGCAAATTACGGTTACCAAAGTGCTACTATACCTCGTCAAGTTCATTCGGAAATTTTGAAATATACCCAGCTTAGAACCCGTAACTCTACCACAAAAGACGCAATAATTTAACTATGGTCGATTTTTGATTGATCGAATTTATGTGTTTTTTAATTTCAAGAATCATCATTTATCACGCAGTGTTTAATTTAAATACCTGGTATTTCTACTTTGACATACGTTCCAACTGCACCTTTGCAATTAACCGTAACGCATTTATCGGTCTTTTCCACTTTCACCAAGCCACACAAAATCTGAAAATGATTGCGTCTTAATGTGGTTATTCCGAATCTTTAAGTTAATTATGAATATTATTAGAACCGATAAGTCGAGGAATTGAAGCTCTGAGGCGTATTTTGCCAAGTCATTTGGCTCATTCTAACGAAACTGCTATTTTATTACAGGCCAGGAACTGCAGAAAAACTTAATATTAAGTTGGTAGGTTATAAACTTGCAAGATAAAGCAATAATCTGATTCAATTTTACCGCGTCCATATCGTCGTTTAAAACGGAAACTTCGGCTCCGTTCAGTTGATCCCAGCAACAGTCTTCTTGAACATTCTTTATCTTAACATCACCGACGCGGCTATTTTCAAACATCAACTGAAATGTGTTTTTCATAACGAAAAATACTGCCTGAATCCTAGCCATAAAGATATAAACTTATCTCCAGAACTTTTAACAAGAGCCATGATAAATTAAAAACAAAATTTACAATCCTGTCGGCGCTTTTTACTTTTAGTTATACGTGACTTGCTCATGAGTCATGTGGTGTGTTAAAAACAAAAATACCCTGTCAAATTTTTATTCGGTTCAGGACAAAAATTGAGCAAAAAATTGCTTAGTTATGAGTAAATATAAAAGGTTACCAGTATAAAAGGTTCAGATTCTAATTCACTGTGACAGAAGGTCTCCATATCTCCGTCTAAAGCTAATTCTGCGTCCAAGTTTTTAAAAACTGACGACATTAGCCCACTTTCTATCGGAAGCTTCTTGCAGGACCCTGAAATGCCATAAAACTATTACGATGATACGTAAAATATATTACTGTACTAGATATGTAAAAGTGCAAGAAAACACGCACGTAATATACTCCAATGTCTTGATTCTTAAATGTCTTGGAAAAGTGAATGGCCAGAGTACATGAACTTGCAAAGTAATCAGAATCAGGCGGTGCAAATTTGTTTTGAGCCGTGATTACGTGATGGCGATTTTTGTTTTTGATAACTTATCAATGATGTTGTAGTTGTGAACTGTTCACATAATCTCTGAAAATGTAAAAATTTGTACCACATCCCAACTTTAACGCCGATGTTTTAACCTAATTTAATTTGACTGATTAACTGCTAACCTTCACTCTGGACGATATGTAAAGTCGATAATGTTGCACAACATAGCAATACACGTATTAGAAACATGATTTCCTGAAAAATATAGTTTTTTGCGGCTTTAATAGGAACAAAAACAGATGATCAATATTTTGGGTTAGCAAGCTTGTACGGTTATAACATCTTAGCTAAGGAGTTTGATACGACAATGGTATAATAGTCGCTTGAACTTTAAAAGTCACATTAATCCACGGCTTCGAACTAGTATGAAAGTTAAAAAATGAAAAATATCAATCAACGGCTGAAATTGGTACATAATCAACGCATGATAACTATTAGAATAAAAAGCGTTCAAATTGACTAATTCTCCGCTCAGTATGAACTAAGGGTATTAAGTGAAACTAACGGTAGTTTCTCCACATAACTATATATGCAAATTGGATCAGCAATGAATGGTCTCTTTAAAAACAACAAAGGCAGCTCCTTTATCAATCCTTGCATTTCTCATTAATCAATGCCGAAATTCCTTTTTAAAATGATTGCATAGTGCCAGTTCAAACATTTCGTATCAGAACTTCATCATAGAATCTATGTAGGTGAATACAAAGTGGCCGCAATCTGCAAAATCACAAATTAATGATATTTGACTCCAAAGTATTGACTTGTCAAATGCAACGTAACAAAACAGTCAAATGAAGAAATGACGTGCGCGCGCGATGTTATAATTCCACATCAAGTACACACGAGGGGGAAACGCGCAAAATCACAATTTCCACGTGTAAAAAGGCTCGTTAAAAGAATCTTAGATTTGAGTGGATACACCGCCGGCAAAACTTACGCTTTGCGTAAGTTAGTTATTATTAAGAAACTGTTTACACCATTAAAATATTCAAAACCCCTAAAAGAAATCAAGTCATCCTAAAATGGTGATCAGTACAGATCAAGACAGCTAGAGTTAAAATTTGTTTCTCCAAGCAACTCTATCATCGGCTAATATCTTAAGCTTATTAAGATCATTCAAAGAGTTAAGTTTTAAACCTCTACGGGTCAAATCATTCACAATAATCTTGAACAAATTCTTACGATGCGCACCGACGCGCCCTTTACAGTTTGTTGTGACAGCAAACTTTAACGCTAATGCAGCGGGGGAGTCATCAGCACTACGCAAGATATGACCTAGGAGCTTCCACCTTGCTTTAGGGACACGATCTGATAGCTTAACTGAGTTACATCTTAGGTATAAGTTTGCATTGGATATTGTTCCATGAGGCCAATAAATGTTCAGTAATGATCTAAGGTGTTTTCTATGGCAAATGTCTAGTTAGTTAGTGTCTAAATTTTATTATAAACTTAACTGTATGCACTCAATGTAAGATTTTTAAACATGCCACTGAACTTAATTTTGTTGGTAGAATGGTGGACAAAAAGAAGGAAAGGGGTAACATGAAAGCAACTGTTGTTTCTAGGGTAAGAGTACAGCTTTTTAATCATGTAGCTCCACCTTTTACATTATATGTAGTCCCTTAGTAAAAGTACACGATTAGTGCTGGCATATAAAACATAAATTCATATTAAGATTAAATTTGACTGGAGCACTTCCTAATTCATTCTGATTCAGGATAATGTTCCAAAGGCTGCATTTATTGAAGAGCGACTAAGGAGGATTAAAGCAGAAAAGAACGCTGAGACTAAGAATGATCTGGAATCTAAAGGTTATTTATTATATAATACGCTTTGGTTTGTTTGTTGTCGAGCATTATATTTAATGCAGCTGTAACTGTAACTGTAGTTATTGGTGTAACTGTAGTTATTGTTGTACATTAATGTACAAAATTTGAGGCTATCAATTACTATAAAGAATATACCATTATTATAATAAAATTTACCCCAGACTTGAATCGGCTATTAGACGATCTATCTGAGTTTGACTCAATGTCGGGCAGTTCGTCATCTGACTCGGATTCTGATTCAAGTTCAAGTAGCTCATCTTCTGATAGTAATGTTAGCCTCAGGTGAGGCCTTAGAGTTAGTAGTTGGATCTGAAACATTATTTAAATCTAACATAGTACTCACAATATATACTTTTCAACTTCTTTTTAGAAGGGCAACCCTAAGTTTTAGTTTTACTAACAGCAACGCGAACGATGTGTTTTAAAGTTATAAGTACAAGTACTGCATAACCTAACCACCGAAAACGATGTACTACTCACTAGTGTAACTCTACTTCCATTTGTGTATATAAACGAAGCAGCGCTAAATTTTGTGACAATGAAAATTTTCTCCTCAGTTCACTGAACAAACAAATAAAGAAACTCAAAAGTAAAGAAGATCGTAAGAAGCGTGAAATTGAGAAACAAATAATAACTGAAGCCCAAAAAGAACGTAAGTTTGAAAGTTACTTGTTCTTTTTAGTTTCGCTTACAATCCCCGGCCGATGTTAAATTTGCAATGGTTCGTCTTATCAACGATATATTATATCATATTATAACTCATTGTTATTCCTACTCGGTTTGGTAAATGTGATCAAATTTCACAAATTCCTAGATTCCTTTCAGAAAACAAACGTTGGAAAAGTAAAGAACTTTGGGTCGACCAGGAGCTGTATACAAGACATAAAGCCAACAGACGCGAGGTTTTGGAGGTGAGACAATAATTATAAAATAATTAAATATGAGCCAGCTGAACTTACGCCACGCATTCAATTACAATCTGGTATTGATCCACATTCTCATGCCGACTATTCCATTTTATATAGTTAATACCTATATTTGGCGTAGGTCGGAGGCCCAACCAAGTGGGTCCAGCAGCTGTTTCGAGATGTGAACTCAGGGATGAAGATAACAGAGAACCTGGTCTGGAAGATGGTCACTAAGTTCGCTGTTGTGATGTTCGTGAAGGAGATTAACAAGGAAGCAGGGAAAGCGAGTCAAATTATTGAAGCTGTTAGGGAGAAACATAACATTGACGAAGACGAAATCTTAGAGGTGAAATAGTTATAATAGTCAACGAGTTTGCCTTGTTTTACAGTCCACATGGCTGAGATTCAGATTCTTCTGACTCTGAGTACTGATTGATATCTAGGACCTTTTTTCCTCGCAATTTCAAACCTCAATTCGCATCTTGGAATAGTACTGTCTCTAACTTATTGTATACAGTTTTGTTTTTTGGACAATCGAGGCAAAACTATTATACTGCTCACACATAAACATAAAACTGTATTTAATCTGATAAAATAACTAAAAATTAACAATTAACAACGAACCCCGTCCTTACCATCCTCCACATTCCACAGGTTGTTCTGGATGACTCCCATGCCGCTAAAATGACATTTATCGATTTACAGAGACTCACCAGCAAACGGAACTTCCCTCAAATATTTGTAAATGAGACGTTTATTGGCGGACTCACTGAACTGAAGGTAAAACACCGTGCAAACTTCAACATGAACATTAATTTAATTTCTTAGATGATAATGATTATTTGAGTATTTAATATAATTATATACATTTTGCTACGATCCAAAAACAATGCTTATAAATTCATTTACACAGGACTTTGCGGCGCAAGGACTACTTCTCCGACAAATACTCATATTTCAAGGGATAGTCGATAGGAAGTGTGAGAAATGTATCGCTCTTAAAGATCATCGTAAAATGTCTTTTGCTTCTAGAGCTTATGATCGATAATTATTTTAACCTTATAATCATATTTTACCGTTATAGGGACTATTGCAAACAAATATATCATGGCATAGCAGAAATTTTTTGATTGATATCACAGTGCTGGCAAGCACGAGCGGTGTCTTTATTGGGGGAATACTATGTACCCCCTTTACTATTGTACCCCCTTTACTATTATAACTCCTTTACACCCCCTTTGGTACACGTTGGAAGGCCGCCGCCTCCGGCAGGAGTTTTTCAGGCATTAAAACTCATCGGAAGTCGTTCAGCAGATTTATTTTTTAGTTCAAAACATTCTAATTTGATGTCAAAGATGACAGAAATAAGAAATAGTTATGTTGAGATTTTGAAGAAATTTGCATAAAATTCGCGCCAGCACTGTTATACGAAATTCGGTAAAAAACCCGAAATCGCCATATTCAGGTGCCTTAAAAACCATGTTAAAATTGAGTTAGAGATCTGAAATTTTTCAGGGCGTCTAGACGTTGACCAAATCGACTGTAAAAAAAGTTTCAAGTTTCAGGAGCATCGGGAAATGGGTTTTCTAGAACCCCTGTTTTACGACAGATTGTCGTGATATATACATACATATATAATATATACTTATATACATATATATATTCAGGGATAGACGCTTTGCCAGTCAATTATAGGCTATATTTAGGTGTCCGTAGATTCAGAAGCTTTAAAGATACAGCCATTTCGGACCACAGGTCTTGAAGATAATTGTTTAGACTTTAGTTTACATTATGTTAAAAAGTAATTCAACGTCATCATCACCACTTGATGACGTCATCAAGTTAACCATTTTTAAAACTTGATTTTTCACAAAGTAATCATTTTTAAAATCAATTTTACGCCATTAAGGAGTAATTTTATTCAAAATTTGAGTGCATATTGAAGTTAGATAATTGTTTAAGCATTCTGAAAATCTACCGGAAAGTTTTTCTAGCTTGCTCCTTCATAAAGATATTCGCTATTGAAGTTAGTGCTTTTTTAAAGAATAATTTTATAAAAACGCTAATTTTACGTTCTAGTATTCTCTGGTGTTGCACCATCCCTTGGGTTGTGGAGCTCAATTTTGCTTCCTAAAGGTCTAAATTGTGTCATAGGCTAGTTTTAAAGTTGAAAATCGAAAAGTTGCACACGTGGGGCCACGCCCAAATTGATAGAAAATTGCTAAAATCACTGAATATTGCTGTTTTCACCAATTTCCGTCAACTTTGGAGTGCCGTTGTGATTACAGTTCTTCTTGAAATACTTTGAAACTTTTCATGCTTATCAAACTATATATAAAACACCATCATGCAAAAATTTACGGTGATTCAATATTGGATGCGCACGCAACTTCCGCTCAAGGTTTGCACGTGCGAAAGGTTAAAATTTTGCTCATTCGTGATTTTGAACAAATTCTGCTTTGCCACGACAGTTCAATGTCATTAT